GTTTCGACTTACCACAACGTATTTTGGTTGCAAATATTCTTTCACGAACGAGATGAAGTATTGATTGTCTGCAATGCAACTCAGTGGTGGCAACAAATTTCACCATTCCGGTTCAAGTATTATCCTCTGAATACACCCACGTTGATAGGGTTGAAGTCGGAGAATCGACGCTTGGACTGTCAAATTACAATTGTGTTTGACTAGTTGGAAGAAGTTCATGTCTGGCCCCACATGCTTTGTAGTGGCGGTTGAGATGATTGATACCAAATCCTTTTTACCATGCCAATTTTTATTGGCAGTATTTATATACTGTTTTAGATTCTGTAAGGCCATCGACGACTTTTTCCGTTAAAATCAACTTAAAGTGATCCCAACATTTTGCTTGTTTTTTGCCCTTTCGCTTTCCCCTCGCATCTGGGATGTTTAATTCGATATCTTCGTCCTCGTGTTCCACTTCGTGAATATTAATATAATCCAAATCAATTGAATTGTAGTTTCCTTAATCGTGAATGTGAACATCTTCGTGAATGGGTACGTCATTTAGACCGACAAATTCATTTGAAAATTGACTTTGCGAGTGTCGTAGGCTATTCGCCATGTGGCCCACATCCCGTATCAAATAAACTCTCAACAAATGAGCATTGATCCATTTTGTTTGATTATTTATGTTGAAATCCAAATATAAACTAGAAAAATATAAATGTAGGGAGATTGTGAGAATTGATATTGTAATTGAATAAACTGTAAAAAATGAATCGATATTATACATTTTGGAGTATAAGAGAGTAAAAACTCGATAATTAATATAATAAAATAGAGTTGAGAGAGTTGAGAAATGAGAAGTAGCAATTGAGAGGAGATAATTGATATGGAAAAAAAGGGGGAGTTATAGGGTATTTATAGTAGAAGCAAAAAAAAAATAAATTCAGTGACCGTCACTGAAAAGTGACCAAAACGGTCATTATAGTTCGCGAGCCATGAGCCCGGCTCGTTTCAACGAACCCCTTGTGGGCGAGAGAGGAGCCGAGCTGGCTCGGCTCGCCTCCCGACGAGGCTCACTCGGCTTGTGCTCGGGCTCGTGATTTTATGAGCGCGAGTCGTCCACGAGCCTTATTTCGACGAGCTGAGAGGCTTGACCCTTTTGACATCCCCAGCTACAACCCTTTGTTAACAAGAACATGATCACCACTGCCATCATCTTCATGATTGTTGTTAGAAGTGATGGTGATTCATGTTTTTATCATTGTTGACTTCATGGTAGTGGCCATGGGGGTGCCCCATACCGAACCCGCCCTGTTGCCATCACTAATAGGAATTGTTGATACTTCATAGAATGATAATGGTACTTCTCAACATGCATCCACACTTCGAAAATATTTTGTTTACACCAATTTCACGTTGAGCTTTAAGATCACAGCTTCATATTTATTTATTAATTATTATTATTATTTATTTATTTTTTTGCATCTTTTAATCAACTCTATCCTCGAATTACAACATTTTAGAATGTTGTTTTCCACTAGGACTTCGACTAGGTCTGGAGCAAAGTTCGTCACATTATTTGTTAACTACAACATATTTCAATTGCAACGAAAGTCTTCAACTTTTGCTCATTTATGTCCTGAACTTTTTACGTAATATTTTATCACGAACTTTCAGTTAATTAGCACATTTTATCCTTAACAATAAATTTTTAAATATTTGGTCAGTGTGTTTTGAGTTGAGATGAAAAATATATTTTTTAAACTCTTGTATTTTTTTACTTATTTAAAATGGAGGGACAAATTAGTCTTTCTCACACCCATGAACACGACTTTTGGATGAAAACAGATTTAATAGATTACTGTTATATAGCTATGCATTATTCAAAATGTTAAATATATTCACACAACAATTTTTAATAGCTAGACTACACTTTAATTATACGAAAGGTTTATAACATTTATATATTATTACATCTATGTTTCAAACTTTTTCCATCGTACTCTTATTCTCAAATTAACATAAACTATTTATGATTATTATTTCTTTCCAAAATTATATTTAAGATAGAGTAGAAAGACACATGTGCTCATTATATTCTTAAATATGTAGAATAAATAAATAATAATAGTACAAAAATGCATTTAAATATTTGATACTCATTTTAAAGCAAGTTAATATCATTTTTGAACAAAAATCAAGATTAAGAATAAGATTTTTCGATCAATGAAATGTTAAAAATAAGATTTTGATGAAAAAAGGGTTGAGAATATAAGTATAATGATGAATACCGTGTATTCATAAAAATAAAATAAAATAATTGTTGTACATTCACACCACACTTTTTTGATAACTAGCTATATTTTAATTGTAAAAAATGTTCATAATTTTTACACATTATCACATTTATGTCTCGAGCTTTTTATTTATTTATTTATTTATTGCATTCTTACTTTTAAATTAACAACATTTGATCCTGATCATGATTTCCCTTGAAAAATTTATTTAAGATGAGTAAAAGGAGTCATTTACCCATTGCACTTTTAAAGAAGCAAAATAATAATAAATATTTGATCTTCATTTTAAAGCACGTTAAATATTATTTTGAGAGAATATCGTGATTAAGGACAATTTTTTTTTATTAATAAAATGTTAAAGTTCTGTTTATTGTGGTTTGATTAATAAAATAATTGATTACCTTTCACAAAAACAAAAAAAAAAATAATAATAAAATGTTAAAGTTAAGAATACAATGAAGAAAAAAAGTTAAAATATAAATGTGATAATAAATAAAGATTAATTATCTTCAATGTAATTGAAATGTAGTGTATTTATTACACATGTGGTGTGGCTAGGGATGGCAATTCGGCACGTCGGCTTAGACAACTCGTAACTTGGCTTGGAAAAAGCTCGAGTCGGCTCGGCTTGAGGCTCGGAGGCACAGAGCCAAAGCTCAGGCCGAGCCTCATTTTTGAAAGTTGACTCGAGTCGGGCAAGCCCAGCCCGTATTAAAAAAAAAAAGAAAAAAGAAAGAAAAATCAGCTGCAGCTAGAGGTATATAAAAATAAATAAATGAACTTCCAGAAATCAAGTTCGGTCCGGCTCAGTAAAGCCCGAGCCGAAAGCTCGAGTTGAGTCTTAATTTTTCGACTGAGATTTTGCTCGGCTCGGCTCGAGTTAAAAAAGGCCTGTCTTAGAAAAGTTCGAGCCGCGCCCAAGCCAAAAATTTTGGCTCGCGAACCGACTCGACTCGATTCGTTTCGTTGACATCCCTAGGTGTGAATATAAACCCCTATAATCAATCCATTGAAAATAATAAAGGTTTATTATATTGACATCATCATTTTTATTTGTCACATCATATCTTAATTAACGTTAAGCTTCTCAATCTTTGTTCACTGTGGAAATTATTTCATTAACTTTTTTCCTTCGAATTCTTATCTTCATCTTTTTAATTAGTATGTCTTGTCCTTAATGATGATTTTATATTAAAAGATTTAATCACAAGGAAATATATTTTTATACTTTTTATTTTTTATTCATTTTTTTTAAAATATGAAGGAAAAATAAATTCTTTTATGTCAATTCAACGGATTTTTGGATATAAAATTGTTATTAAATTAAAGTGTGTTAACTAATGAAAATTTTGAGGCTAAGAATAACATGAAAAACTGTTAGGGACATAAGTATTATAATAAACAAAATTTAAAAATCTTAAATTTAATTAAAATGTGTTGCAATAAATAAAAATTGTGGTGTGAAATTACCCAATAATAATCAAGGTAATTATATTATCACCACAAATTGTATTAAGCACTCCACAATTTTTAATAATGTTCTTATTTACTTAAATATCCTTAAATAAAATTACATAATTAGAATTTTAATATATAATTATCCTAAAATAAATTATTATTCCACCACAAACATAACCTTATTATCATTATTTTTGTCTTTCTTTTTTCTCAACTTCTAACTGCACACATCTTTTCCGTTAATGGCAACTTTTTGCTTTCTTCCATGATGACAATATAATTCTCTTTTCCTCAGGATTAGTGAACTTACACTCTATTGTGTTATTTCCATGTTATATATATATAGTTATGAATTTGGATATCGGACTGCTTGGTTTTTAATTAGTGAAAATTAATTAGGATAACGTATATACGTACATATGGATCTTGCTACATATATATCAATATTTATATACGGAATTACATAATATTCATATAGCACATTATCATTTGTTAGTTTAAAATATAGTCAATTTTTGAATCTACTTTCCATTCACATCATATTCGGCAACTCCTTATATATCTTTTTTTTTTAAACGATCTCCTTATATATCTTTTTTTTTAAACGATCTTTTATTGATAAACTCTTACTTGTGGTGAAAGAATACCGTAGTTACACATTTGCAATTCACTATCCAAATCAAAGTAAGCCAAACTCCGTGTAATCTAAAATAACATTGGAAGATTTAAAGACAAATTGTGAGGAAAAAAGCCTCGCAACATAGAGTCCATCCAAATTTGTGAAACACAAGATGCTCCCAATTTCAACAGGATATCAGCCACCGAATTGCCCTCCCAATGTCATTGAATTGCCTTCCCGATATATGTGTTGAACTCCTTATATATCATTTTGATGTACAAGGAGTAAAAATTCATACACATATAAGTACTATGTTTATGCATGTGTGATTAACGCTCTATCTATATGCATATAGACTTTACAAGGCCTATGTTGGTTTTGTAGATTGTTAGTACATTAGATCCTCGATCACGTAGTGCTTTGAAGAATAATAAGCAGCAATTTTAAATAATCACAGCATTCCATTCATTTTGAATTTCTTTAACAGATTTCTTAGGTAGACGAGGACATCATAATATTGTATTTTTTTATTTTTAAATTTTTATTGTATTAGGAGTATAATTTTAAATTTATTGTGGTGTATTTATTGAAACTATATTTTAATTGTGGCTCGGTTATAACGTACTTATAACCTAAAATACCTAAACAACCCTTAAATCGGCTCAGAACCGAACTCGTGTTCACTCGCACAACATGAAACAAAAAGTCCACTGAGCTGACGGAAGGTTCGAGAAAAATCCACTGTCGAGAGATCGCCGGCGTAAAATGGCATCAGGATGGGGTATAACGGGGAACAAAGGGAGGTGCTACGATTTTTGGATGGATTTCAGCGAGTGCATGTCCCGTTGCCGGGAGCCCAAGGACTGTGCTCTGCTCCGTGAAGACTATTTTGAGTGCCTTCACCACTCCAAAGAGGTCCGTTCTTTATCTACTCTCCCTGAAACCCCAATCTTGATGTTTGTGTTATTATGGATTTCAGCTCTGATGGTAAGATTTCGTTAAATTAGGGTCTTGTTAATTTTTTTTTTTGTTAGGCTCTAAAATTATTACTTTTCGATTAGCATAGAGAATCATTGAATGAAATGTAGTAATTAGTTTAATTCGGTCCTTCAAATTAGGGATGGGCAGAAATTAGAATCTGACATTTTTCAATTTTTTTGCTTAGGGATTAAATCGGAATATAAATATAATGTCATTTAGGGCTATATCTGGACTGTTTATTATTTTAGCGGGAATTGTTTTCTTTGAGTTCGCTCTAGATTGGAGTTCAGCTCTATGGTTGAGAATATATTAACAGTGGCGGCCTTGACTATAGGCGAGATAGGCAAACGTATAAGACCCCACTTTGGTGATGACCCCAAATTATGTAAGGTTAATTGATTGAAGAAAAATAAAAATTACATTTATGAAGTTCTTTAAAATAGAATGATTAATATGCAAGCACAAGAAACTAATAAAAATTGAAAATACAAAAATCTTTAGAGAAACATATAAATAGCATAAAGCTTATCACATCATATAAATATATCCAAACATCACTCTCTCTAATTAATTTGACCATTTAGCTTCCAAATATCCAATTTCTTTCCTTAACCAAACCAAAAATGTCCCTTTGTCTCTTCAAATTTCACGTTCAACAGTAATCCACCATAATTTTTTTCACCAAACAAGAAATGAATTATCTTACGTTGAATTAAAATTTTGAAGATTCAATTTAATATATTGGTCTAGTATCACTGCGATTATTACGACCTTACAGGTTTTTTAATTTCTCCTTTATCGTAAAAATATATATTACAAAGTTCATAGGCTGTTATTGTTATCGTTTTGCTTTAATCTCATTATAATAGCTTTTTTTATGCTTGTTAAAGGTACTTTGAATTTAATAATTTTTTATCCGTGTTCATACTTCTTATTTTCTTCTTATTTTAAAGTTAATTCAGTATGAATTAATATAAAATTAGAAGCTCATTTGTATTTGATCGTCATTTTCATTATTTTGTTATATAATCTCTTGCAATCAACATTCTCCGATTTTGTACATAATTCACTCAAATACATATTTAATTTTGTTTTAAATAGTTATAGTGAAAAAATGATCAAAGAAACGAACAGACCCATTGCCATTGCATTGTAGTTCTGTATGACAAACTTCACTTCTAATTTGTATTGTATGTTGAATTTTTACATTTTGTTATTTTCCTCTTCAAATTTTGGGGTTGAGTTGTCGGTATTAGATTCTTCGTCATTATATTAAAACTCTATGCAAAAAGGCTCAAGTAAGAATACAATGATTTTTCTTCAATAGGCCCCATATTTAAAATTGGCTTAAGGCCTCCAAAATATTAGGGCCGCCCTGTATATTAACTTGTGATTATACTTCACTTTTGTTATAAGTATCTTGGCATATTAACTACAATGTTCAATCCATTTATATTTTGCATAACTGATGCTCATTCTAATAAGATACAATAATGGTATCCTATAATCAAGTGATGAAAACTGGCATGCCCATGTAATGGCTTATCGACTCTGATAGTGACAAATCCTATTAATATACTGCTAAATTGCATTAAGAATTTTCTATGCATTACACTTTCTCATAATTGTATTCCATTCTTTAAATTTTGCAGTTTGAATCCCATTCTTTATAAATATGAACAATGCAGTCTACAGCTAGATTTTAGTGATCTTTGCCTAGGTGTCTATGTAAATGATATTGTGGATTCTAGCAAAAATTTTTGGTGGACCAATTACAATGCTTTATAATTTTACTCAACTCCAATGTAACTTTTTAACTTACATGTCAAGATTTGAGAAAAAAGATAGTGAAGGTAATGAGAGGATCATTAGAATTGTCTTAATCCAAAATCCAAGCAACATTATATTTGCAATTGTTAATATCAGTATTGCTGCCTACACATGGTCATTAGCGGTGATGCCTGTTAAAGAGATTGTGTCACCGGTGGCGTAATATGGAGAGGATGGCAGCGTAGCAATGACGACATGTGGTGGAATGGTGGTGGTGCAAGGGCAACAGTGACTGTAGTGATATTGTGATACTGAATGGTGTTGGGTTTTTCCCTTTTCTCTTTGCACAGCCTCTTTAAGTTTTTGATCTATAAATTAATGAGACTTGTCAGAGTCGAGTTGGATGCCATGCAATATGACAATTTTTTATTTGAAGTTTGCTTATTGAAAAATAGTAGTCTCACCAGAATTTGGTTGGAGTTATTCTGAAAAGGATAATATTTGAATTGTGCAAATAAAAACATAGGTCACTGTTGTGAAAAGCATGAAGTATCTAGGATTTTTAATATAATTTAGCCGTCGAAGAATGTGTTTGTTTGACGCAATCTGATGGGTGCAGCTAAATTAAGTTGGAATCTATGTTATCACCCAAATAAGCCAAACCAATTTTTGTATTTTGAAAAGCATAGGAGCAATGTGAAAAGAAAAAAACTGAGATAGTTAACAAAAGTTAGATTTTTAAATGTTGAGTATTTTTTTTTAATAAGTTGGCTTTTCAATTTTTTTAATTTCTAAATTAGTTTTCAATTTTTGCTTTTATTTCTTATTCAATCTGGTCAGGCGAGACCAGGAGCCACTAAAAGGGGTCTTGCTTTTGTTCTCATAGCCACATGGATAACCGATGGGCTAGATTCTTCCTTTTTTCATCAGTATGCTGCTCTGCGGAAGCTTCTTGAACTATAATTTTGTAGACAATTGAATACATGGTTTTATTTAACCCCGTTTGGAGGGGATCAAAAATCATATTTTTAGTAGATTTTGATAAAAGTTGATGAAATGTGTGGGTGAAAAGTTATGGGTCCTATGAAATATGTGGTTAAAATTAATTGTTAATTTGTACTTTCTTGAGGGGTAATTCAACAATTTAGATATGCGAAACCACGTGAGTTTGTCTTATTTCAATTAGGAAAAGATAGATTCTGGATTAGTAATAGTTTGCACTTTGTAATGATTTCTCTGTCATTCTTTTTCTTTCCAAAAAGCATTCTATCTGGGAGTTTGCTTATATCCTGTCTTCATGTCATTTTATGACAGTTTGTAAGTTTGCACTTTGTACAATGATATTCTTTCTAGCGCAATTATGTTTCTTTTCCCAGCTCTCATCCATACTGGTTCTTTAGTAATTACGAGCACCTTAACATATGAACTTTCTGTTCAAACCCATTCCCTTTGGATGAATGTCAAACTGCAATTTTTTTCAGTTGCATCCACTTAGGATGGTTTGCAAGTAAAACTTATGGATATTTCAGAAGTCAGATAAAATCTATCCTGTAAAAAATCGTAATAGCAACTGGACATCATCTTTCTTTCACAAAGGCTTCTGTCTTTCCATTTTTTCTTCATTGTCAAAACAAAGCAGCATGGGTGGAGATGTCAATTGAGGAAGGAGGGTTGAACTGGTTGCCTGCTGAGTTGACTTGACCTAATTGCTTTTTGATTTGTATATCTTACTTGAGCCCTGCTTTTAAATCTTTCTAACACATCAAAATCCTCACCAGTCACATCAAAATCCTCACCAGTAACAACCCCCCCCCCCCCCCCACCCCCCCCAAAAAATCCCCCCCCCCCCCCCACCACAACCCAAAAAAAGAAAAGACCCCTTTATCCCATGGGTCCTTCGCCAGATTTTTTTCCCTGAAGACAACAGGAAAAATTGAAAATAAACAGAAAAGGAAGTTATGTGGTGCGGATGGTCTACCTCTCCAAAAATTTGCGACTTCACTTGGGGGAGGTTTCTCACTTCAATTTTAGGAACCTAGGACACACTTGACTCTTGTTATCTTATTTAATCTCTAATTCTTATCTTTCTAGTTTAGAGTTGGCTCTTTTAGCACAACCCAAATGTTTAAGGTTATGAACAAGACTAGCTTCAAAAGTCAAGCAAAAAATGTTCCTCCCAAAAGGCAAGATTAATGCACACACGCGTGAGCTTATACCACAAGGCTTGCGCCTAAGCAAGTTCTTTGACAAATTAATGTCGGATGCAAAAGGAAAAGGGTAGAGAAGAGGAGAAAGGAGGGGGAGAAGAGAGAAAAAGGGAGAGAGGAAGATAGAAATTGGGGGAGAAATCAGTTAATTTCATATATCAAAGCTTATGAATTAGGTCGCATAAGATGCTTTTATATAGGGTTTCAAAAGATCCTAAAAATAATATAAAGAATATAAATCAAACCCTAATAATGTTTCCTAAAATACGCATTAAAATTGGAAACTGGATATAATAATATCCCTTCTAATTTTTCGTCGCAAATGGCTCATAAAGCATAAGTTTTGAGGCTCTTATGAAGGCCTCGCTTGAGGCATGCTCAAGGCATAAGCCGCGGCACTTTTGAAAACAATGATCTCACTATCACTAAGCTCTTTTCACTTCTCCACTCTTATCCACTTTCTGTCCCCTTTTTTTTCCTTTAATAAATATCTAGGTTGTTTGTGATTTGGGGGCTCTATCCAATAATCTGACGAGACATGCAAGTTGGCTGAAAATAATGTTTTACAGTTCAGATTTATAATCAAAATAAGGAGTTGTTTGCATTCTGTTCCCTAGGTTTTTTGCTATGATTTTGTACACGCCTCGAGTCTCACTTGGCTTCTGTCGGTGGTATAATACAGTTCCAACGCAGGAATCGGATCTACAAGGAGGAGCAGCGCCAGCTGAGAGCAGCTGCACAGAAGGCCAAGGGAGGTGGAGATGATGGTCATCACTGATAATCATTATTGGTGATCTTTTTTTAATCGGTTGGAAGATGGAAGGAAATTAATCAATTTTCTTGAGAACTTGTTGAAAATAAAAAAATAAATGAACTGTATTATGTGTTCTGGAACGATGAAAACATGAACGTAAATGTATTTCTTGGTGCAAAAAAGGGGGTAAATTTGTTTTCTTTGTGTTGAGACATTTTGGTCCTTGCTAGTTTCCTCTTGCACTTTGGCATTATATTCAATTCTTTGATTGTTCTTCACTGTTTTTATCATTTGCTTTCGTCATTTCGTTTTGCTAAAGCAGTTTGTCAAGGATGAAAATCTCCTCCCCTTGCACACTTGAGATTGGAATCTATAAATGGCCTACATTTGCATGCTAAGAGAGAGTGGCTTTCTTCTTAGTTGTCTTGTTGAAATAACCTTATTTTGTTCTTATTAAAAACCACTCTCGACTTGAGAGATTTTCAAGAATGAGGTATACCACTTGATCAATTTCACAGGTTGATTCCCACTTCTTAATTTTGATTTCTCATCCAATGATTTAGTTATTAATACGATTTATAGTGCTTCCGAGTCTTCTTCTCAAGACCGGGCTGAGAAGCTTGAGGAGGTTCCTAAAATTAGGGACATGAATCCATTTGGTGATATTGCTCTTTGCAATATAGAGGGACCATTTCTTCTTAATAATAGTTGAATGAAGGTTTATCTTTAATTTTTGGCCAACTAAGGGACCTTTGAGCAAAATCTATTCAAAAGTCCTTATGTTGCCTATTTTTGCAAATGTTTGGTATTGTGATGTCAAAAATAAAAAGCTTGGGACTTAAGGCACTTTTGTGAAAGGTTGAATCCCATTTGCAATTCACCCTTTGAATGAGCGTTCAAGAGCAAGTTTGTCATCCCTACATTTGAGGGTATTTATAAGTTGAAGTGTTTCTCTTTTCCGGTCAATATTAACCCCAAAATTGTATCGAGTATAGTTTATTCCTTTGCCTTCTAGCGATCACAAGTACCCTTTCGATATAAAACTCCGAACTGTGAGCTATAAATTGCGTTGAATTCTAAATTCAATTGGCTTTCAATAATAATATATTCTAGTTATAGATTAACAAAATCTGTTCACTTCTTTCATCTTTTGATGTTTGTTTTCATTCCTTCTTTTGTTTAAATGTACTTTAAATTGGAGCTTATTCCAAATACATAAAACATGATAAAAAACAAACAAGACATTATATAACAAATAAACGAATATCTCACGTATATAAGTTATTTATTAATTTAAGTATCGTATACTTTATTCCAAGTAGAGTACGACATTTTGTATGACTTGAAACATCATTCGAGATAGAAATTTAGCCGAATGGTCGGCCAATGATCAGCATTTTCCAATAGAAAACAAAAATCAAGATAAGAAATATATTATTTTAGGTAAAAATATAAGCTTGGCAACGATGGTCTGTTTTTTGGTGCTTGGCTCGAGTGATTAGAGTAAACATACAAGTCAACCTATCATAATGGGAAATATCATGACAGAGACAAATTTCTTGCTCGAGCAATTAACTAGGGACGATGAACTCAATTTTTCCCAGAAAGAACAAACTTTCCAAGGTGGAAAAGTCATAAAGTGCGGTGCATGTTTGATCGATAAACTAAGTTTGTCACATCAAATAAGTGCTTATTTTGAAGGAAAGTTTATTTAAAATTATGTATAATACGTCATTGGTTATGCAAGAATTTTGCTTTGTAGTTTGCTGATGGAATATTTATATATAAAAATGGAAGAAACTGAAAAGGGTTTCGGCAGTGGGTAAGAGTAAAATCCAAGCGATTGGAAGAATATGAGTGAAATTAGCTTGTATATTGGTTTGCTATCTCTGGTGTTGCATTTACCGGTGGCGGTTCACGGCGTTGATCATTATAGCAGAACAGATTTCCCGGCTGACTTTGTTTTTGGTTCTGGAACTTCTGCTTATCAAGTTAGTTGCAATTTATTTATTTATTTTCCAGTTTGTTTGTTCTTAGATTATGTAAACTGATTAACTTGGAATGATTGGTTGTGGAAATTGATTAAACCTAATTACTCTTATCAATTTTGAACTTTTATTTTGTGAAAAATGTAATTGTCAGAAAATTGCTTTTTCAATAGCATTAACTAAAATTTCTTAATTCGTGTTAAAAACAAAATAAGCCTATATAAATGAGATTGAGGAAGTAATTTTAGACTTATTAGTAGGAATACACACCTCCTTTTCCTTCTCACGCAGGAGGTCTGGAGTTGCTACTGTGACCCAGGAACTAATTTGGAAGGTCCTAAATGTTGGGGGGAAAATTTCACGTCGATTAAATATTGACTATAACCACCGTATTAAAAAGCTCACCTAAGCTTCAAGCTTGGACAAAATGCCCCGCTTCGTGCCTAGGTGCATTTTTTTTTTTTTTCCAATTCTTAAACGGTAAATTTTTTCCTTTCTTTCATCTGTCTTCCCTAAGTGCGCTATATTAATTTTTTTTCCCTTTTATTTAAAAATCTTTTATTCGAATTAGTTTATCAGTTTTTTATTTTTTAAAATAACTTTTGTTTGACTTTAACTTCAAATTTTTAAAAGACTATATCTGTACAAAAGTTAAAAATAACTTTATTCGATAAAAAGTTAAATAAGATTTAAGTTATAGTGCTATCTATATCATGTAATTATGATCTTGATGCTCATTATCTTGTTGAAAACTTCGAAAGCATATATAAAGTTCCTATAAATCTATTAAGTAGGACTTGTCTAGTTGACAATTGAAACTATGAAAAATAGTCTAATTTTTGTATTTCGTAAACTTGAAAATTGGATAATTAGCTAATTGTAGGAATTATTAAATAAATATAGTGTTTTATAATTCTAGATCTTTGATATGTATTATTTTAATTATTAAATAACTTTAAAAATAAAAAATAATATTAAAAATAAAAAAAAAACAATTTTTTATACCCAAGCCTCGCCTAAGCTCGTAAAGCTTGAAACTTTGTCTCCGGACTTACATACATTTTACGTTTTTTAGAACACTGACTATAGCTAAAGGATTTGGTCTACTTCTCTCAAAAGATGGTACACCAAGCCTTAATACCAGAAATGCAAATTGGAAGAGCGAGCTGGTAGGCACGAGTAGGGGGGAATGGGGGATGGTGGCATGGGTAGCAAGGATGTGGATGAGAAAACCGGTGATGGTGAAGAAGAAGTAGGAAGTGTAAAAGAAGAAACAAGTGTATTCGGATTCGAACAATAAAAAGAGAATATTCAATGTCATCGATGGACAATTATGGAAGCATACATATGGTAATGGAGAAACGTATTCTGGAGGATAACTAAGTTATAAACGATACAAAGTATGCAAACTAATAGGTTAAAAGTCAAAAGTTTGGCACCCCTTTTTTTGTTGCTTTTTGATCCAATGATTAATTTTTGGTTGTTTTCATTAAAATTTATCAAAACATCAATTTTATTAGGAATAATATTCTTATATGTTGACTATTTGTTTCGTCTTTAATAGACGTGAGATTTATCCCATTTCATTCCCTTCAATATTGGATTAATTGAACTTTGAAAAAATTGCATGATTGGTTCTCAACTTATTGTTCAAATTGCAAGTTGGTTCTTAACCTTAAAAAAAATATTAAGTTGATTTTAGTCTTTCATTTAAATTGCTTAGTTCGTCCCATGCTGTAATAGTCGACATCTTTATTAATTCAAGTGGCGTTTATTCGTCTAATTTTATGAAGTTAAGTCAACTTGAGATGGTTTCTATTTTTGCAAATGTTTGCAGTGGTGATGTAAAAAATAAAAAGGTTGGGACTTGCAGCACTTTTGTGAAAGATTTCAAATCCCATTTGCAATTTACCTTTTGAATGAATGTTCAAGTGCTAGATTGTCCTCCTTTAATGACTTACATTTGAGGGTATTTATAAGGGGTAATTATATTACTATTACAAATTTTATTAAGTGCATCACAATTTTCTCATTTACTAAAATATCCTTAAGTAAAATTACATAATTAGAATTTTAATATACTTTTTAATTAAATAAATTATTGTTACACCACAAATATAAAGCTTAAAGGCAATTATATTACCACTACAAATTTTACTAAGTGCACCATAATTTTCTGCTAAAATATCCTTAAGTAAAATTACACAATTAGAATTTTAATATACTTTTTAATTAAATAAATTATTGTTACTCCACAAATATAAAGCCTAATTTTTTTCTTTTTTTTCTTCAACATCTCATTGTTCATAGTTTTTCAGACGACTATTGCCTTTTTCCACGACGACAAGATAATTTTTTCCCTCATGGTATATAGATAAATCGTAAATGAATTTGTGTATATGTAGGTGCGTCAGTTTTTGCGAATTTTTGTCTATGAGGTATATGAATTTTCAAAAGTTGTTCTTAATCAACAAGAAGTTTTTATTGTTATATTTTATTTTTTATAGGATCATAATAAATTTAAATTTTTTATAACTTATCATAATTCGATTTATTTGTCCTAAATGTTAGGAAAATGATATTGACTTCAATATATATGATTATACACAATACTTTACTATTGACTAAGTATGAATAAATCAAATATTAAATTTATGTCTGATAATTCAATTCTGAGACATGTCTAGTTTATCAAAAATATGTCATAGATGCTTCCTCAAGTTGGGTTTTAAATGTGTCCGATGAATTATTAAAACATTATATCCATTAAATTATAATGTTGTTGTCAATAAAATTTCTTAGAGTTTGTTTGGTACAGTTTAAAAGTCAATTAAAACCAATTTTTTGATCGTTATTTTACTATTCCAACAGTCATTTTTGAATTTTTCTTTTACAGGTAGGACCCACTTTATCTCTAAAGGTCAAAAAAATTCATTAACAAAATCTCTATCAAACAAGCACTTAATTTCCACTTAAGTGTTTCCAAAATAGATATCCAAGATTAAATAATGAAATTGTGAATACATTAAAAATTCATATTTCGAATAAAAAAGGTAACACAAATAAATTACTGACAACTTCAAATGATCCTTTCGAGCATATTAATTATTTGTGACAAACATTCAATTTATTATGGCATGGTGTTCTTCACCAATATTCTATTTTCAATTGCTATGAAATAAATGAGGAGAAGGTTGAGAAAATGAGGTATATTGGTGATAAGTACACCACAATATTATATTATGTTCTTTTCAATTTTTTATTTTTATTGAAAATTAGGAGTATAATTGTAAACTTATTGTAGTGTATTTATTAAAAATATATTTTAATTGTGGTGTAATTATAATGTGGTATGGTAATTAAAATTTGTAGTACAAATATATAATTAGCCATTTATAAGTTGAAGCATTTCTCTTTTTCGGTCAATATTAACCCCAAATTACCCTCAATTCATCAATCAAATTACACCAGAATCAGACTTAGAAACATCGACTCAGGGCCGTAGAATTTTAGCTTGCAAGTTGTATCGAGTATGGCTTATTCCCTGGCCTTCTTGCGATCGCAAGTACCCCACCTTTGTGGCACTTTTCTAACCATCGGAGTAAAATATGTATATCGTTTGATATAAAACTCCAAACTGTGAGCTATAAATTGCATAGAACTCTAAAATTCAATTGGTAAAGATCTCTGCATCTGTTCACTTCTTTCAGCTTTTGATATTCGTTTTCGATCATTCTTTTGTTTATATGTCCTTTAAATTGGAGCTTATTCCAATTACATAAAAACACGGTAAACAACAATGAATCCTTGAACAAGTCATTATATGACAAATAGACACCGGGTTTATATACTTATCTCGTGTATATAAGTTATTTATTAATTTAAGTATCGCACACTTTATTCCAAGTTGAGTACGACTTGAACAGCATTCGAGATAGATATTTAGCGGAATAGTCGGCCGATGATCAGCATTTTCCAGTAGACAACAAAATCAAGATAAGAAATACATGGCCTGTTTTTTGTGCTTGGCTCTAGTGATTAGAGTAAACATACAAGTTAAGCTATCATAATGGGAACTATCATGACAGTGACAAATTTCTTGCTCGAGCAATAAAATAGGACGATGAACTCAATTTTTTCCAGAAAGAACAAACTTTCCAAGGTGGAAAAGTCATAAAGTGCGGTGCATGTTTGATTGATAAACTAAGTTTTTTTACATCAAATAAGTGCTTATTTGAAGGAAAGTTTATTTAAAATTATGTATACGTCATTGGTTATGTGAGAACTTTGCTTGGTAGTTTGCTGATGGAGTATTTATGTATAAAAATGGAAGAAACTGACAAGGGCTTCAGTAGTGGGTAAGAGCAAAATCCAAGCGATTGGAAGAATATGCGTGAAATTAGCTTGTATATTGGTTTGCTATTTCTGGTGTTGCATTTACCGGTGGCGGTTCACTGCGTTGATCATTATAGCAGAACGGATTTTCCGGCTGACTTTGTTTTTGGTTCTGGAACTTCTGCTTATCAAGTTAGCTGCAATTTATTTATTTTCCAGTTTGTTTGTTCTTAGATTATGTGAACTGATTAACTTGGAATAATTGGTTGGGGACATTGATTAAACCTAAATTACTCTTATCAATTTTGAACTTTCATTCAGTGAAAAAATGTAGAGATATAGGCAAAATTACATGCAAAATTTTCTGCGTCTTTGGTGTACTTACGAAGCTTCTTCTTGCACTCACAAAAATAAAAAAAATAAAAAGAAAAAAAAAAGAAAAAAAAGGAAAAAACACTCCCTCTGTCTTATATAACTAACTTTTCTTATTTTCTTGTCCTAATTATATAGTCTTGTTTCTTTATTGAGAATGTTTTGTTTTATTCGTTTAATAATATACCGTTACTTACTAGTTATGGTCAATTTTTCTACTTAATGTTGAAGTTGTACAAATATAAATAAGGACAAATTAGAAAAGTTTTTGACAAAAAATATTTTTTTAATAACATTAAATAAAATTTATCAATCCGTGTTAAAAACAAAACAAACCCATATAAATAGAATGGAGAGAGTAATTTTAGATTTATTAAAGTAGGAATACACGGCTCCTTTCCCTTCTTACGGAGGAGGTTTGGATTTGCTACTAGGACCCAGGAACAACTTTGGTAGGTCCTGAATGTTAAGGGAAAAATCTCACATAGATTAAATATTGACTATAATCATTGTTCTAAAAAGCTCGTCTACACTTGAAGCTCTGGCAAAACACCTTGCTTTGCACCTAGGCCCTTTTGTTTTTTGTTTTTTTTTTCAATTTTTAAACGACTAATTTTTTTCCTTCTTTTCATCTGTCTTCCCTAAGTGCGCTTTGTTAAATTTTTTATTTTTTTCCTTTTATTAACAAATATTTTATTCGACTTTAGTTTATTAGTTTTTTATTTTTTGAAAAAACTTTCATTTGAATTAACTTCAAATTTTTAAAAGACTTTATTGTACAAAAGTTAACAATAATTTTATCGGATAAAAAGTTAAATAAGATTTAAGCTATAGTGCTATCTATATTACGTAATTATAATCTTGATGCTCATTATTTTGTTGAAAACTTTGAAATCATATATAGAGTTTCTATAAATCGATTTAGTAAGACATGTCTAGTTGAAAATTAAAACTATGAAAAATAGTCTAACTTCTACATTTCAAAAACTTAAAAATTGGATAATTAACTAATTGTAGGAATTATTAAGTAAATATAATGTTTTATAATTCTAGATCTTTGATATGTATAATTTTAATTATTAAATAACTTTAAAAATAAAAAATAATATTAAAAAAAAAAAAGACTTTTTACGCCCAGGCGTCGCCTAAGCTCGTAAAGCTTGAAATTTTGTCGCCACGCCTACATACACTTTGCGCTTTTTAGAACATTGACTTCTAAGGACTTATGATACTTCTCTTAAATGATGGTAAACCAAGTCTTAATACTGGAAATGCAAATTGGAAGAGCGAGCTGGTAGGTGGGAGTAGGGGGGATAGGAGATGGTGGCATGGGTAGCAGGGATGTGGATAAGAAAAATGGTGATGGTGAGGAAGTAGGGAGCGTAAAAAAAGAAACAAGTATATTCTGATTCTGACAATAAAAAGAAAATATTTGTTTATGCAATTTTGAAAAAGAAGGCCTTATTTCCTTTTGTCTCCCCAACATTGTAGCCTCAAATTACGAGGGAACTGAAAATATTAGCTTAATTAGTAGGAACATTGAAAATTATAGTTTTGCTTCGTATTTAATGATAATCAAATAACAATCTCTTTTCACTGGATCAGTATTCTAATTCCTATCTGAAGCTTTGCCTGAATAAAACTGATGAATGTTTCTTTGTCATTCTATTAAAAGTATGAAGGCGCAGCATCTGAGGATGGGAGAAGTCCTAGCATTTGGGACACCTTTGCACATTCTGGTCTGTACTCGTCTCTAGTTCTTCTCTTTATACTTCTAGGTCTTTGTTTTCTGTTAATTCTCCGCAATGTCATGATCCTGTACATTAATAAGTAGACAAACATTGACTTCATGTGCATAATTCAATTTTGCAAATGTATTTTACCAACTCATTTTGCTCCTCTCCTTGTTCACAAGGAAATTTTGGTAGAACTGACTCCTATTCCAGCTAAATTTCCCTACTGAGAGTGAACCATTAAGAAATAAGTTGTTACAGTTAAGATGGTGCTGGTTCATATAAGAATCTGGCAGAAAAGCTGCTACACCAGTTCGAAAACTAAAAATGGTTCAAGTGTTTAGCAGATATTTTCATAAATATTCTAATGGAATAATCTATTACATCATTGAAGAGGATTCAGTTTTGATCAAAATGATCTGATAATTATAAAGTTTAAGGCACATATGTCATGATGTTTTTGGGCCAAAAGTGTTTCATAAATGTTAATGCCTTAATCTGCATTCTACTAACTCATTAGTGGCTATGGAGAGGTTTTTCTTATCCAAATTTTTTTTTCTGTCATTGCAAACAAAAGAAATAAAGTTAAGTTACCTATTCTTGACATCCCGTGATTATGGCTTTTCAATTCGCTATTATGGGAATGCCACTCTACACAAACAGGAGAAAAAACTCCTTGTAATGGCAAGAGGCACGGTTTTTCTTTCTTTTTATTTTTTATTTTTTTATAGAAGCATAAGAGGCTATTTTTTTTTTTCACCATTAATGAGTGAAATGGTCTGATTTCAGATTCTGGTGCGTAGAGCTGCTAATAGTGGAGTAGATTCAATGATGTAAATCGTTGATCTGAATATCACCGTATTGAATATATCCTCCTATTTAAAAATTTCAGGCCATACAAATGGAGCCAATGGAGACATAGCGTGTGATGGATATCATAAATACAAGGTGGACACACGGCTGAAGCTCTAATTTAACATATATTTCTTTCCCTTTCATCGTTTTCTTTCCCCTCAAGCAACAATTGCACACTTGTATGGATATTATTCCATGAACCTCAAGATTTGATTACCATTAGTAATTTTAGCCAAGAGGCTTATAGGCATGGTTAGCTATTCCATCATTTGCTCCATTGCTAGCAGATTCAGGAATTTCTTTGGTTTTTCCTTTAAACTCTTCTGTTTTCCAAGGTGGGATGCACGGGGTACTTCTGCATCATTTAGCCCTTGTTTAAGCCATATTATTTTCTTCAAAATGCATTTTTGAATAGTGTATTGATGAGAAATGTGTTGTTAAAAAATAAGGAACAATTTTGGATTTGCGTGTAATATCATTTTATTGAAGAATGTGTGATTGAAATAATGTTAAATCACTGTTTAAGAATACATTTTTTCCAAGGAATGTGGTGCAAACAGGGCCTTGGTGTATTTAGTGAAGGTGCTAGCATTGCAGTCTTTCATTCATATAGTGAAAACCTTTTGAGTGCATGACACATATTTTTCTTGTATTCTTCCCCGATCAAAGACTCGGAAATATCTGGATCGTATAAAAGTTGTCTTTTGAACATTGTTCACATGGTTATTTGAACATGCACCAAGGGAATTATACCTCATCATGCAGGATGATATCCAACTGATGGTTGAGACAAATTTGGAGGCCTTCAGAATCTCCATATCATGGTCAAGACTTATTCCTAGTATGTTCACCTGCATCATGCCGTGTTCAAAGAAAAATGTATATTTTTCTTTTACTCACATGGTCTACTGTCTTTTCAGATGGAAGAGGACCTATCAATCAAAAGGGGTTACATTACTACAACAATCTTATCGATGAACTCATAAGCTGTGGTGATTACAGAATTTCCTACAAATTTTATGTTCTTACTTATAGGAAATGCATTATATCCTATAGTCCATCAAAGATTTATCTCTCACTGCTTCCAAATTAAAAAATTTGTCATCATACAGGAATTCAACCACATGTTACATTAAATCATATTGATCTACCACAAGCACTCGAAGATGAGTATGGAGGATGGCTTAGTAGGAAGATTTTGTATGTTCTTTAATAACATAATTTTAATATGTCTACATCTTTTGCTACTTTTACATTCTTGACACAGAGACATAAATGAAACTTAGGGTGTTTGTGATTCAGGAAGGACTTCACGGCATATGCAGATGTGTGCTTCAGGGAATTTGGTGACAGGGTTTTATACTGGACTACCGTTAACGAGGCCAATATATTTGCCGTGGGTGGTTATGATCAAGGTATCATTGCCCCAGGGCGCTGTTCAGACAGAACAAGGTGCTCTTGGGGTAATTCCTCTAATGAAACATACATTGCGGGGCATAATATCTTGCTGGCACATGCAGCTGTTGTGAGGCTATATAGGGCCAAATACCAGGTATCGTTCGTGCTTTCAATTTCTCGCATTTGCATGGATTTGTTTCTAAATTCTCAGCATATATTTTGTTTTCAAAAAATTGGTAATCAATATGAGAAATGTAACAAAAGAGGCATATGTGTTAGCTAGTGTCTCAGCATTTATGCTTGTGTGTATTTTGGGAATAATGTGTTCAAATACAGGCCATCCAAAAAGGTTACGTGGGATTTAACATCTATACTATGTGGTTTGAACCCTACACCAATGCAACAGAAGATTTAATTGCAACTCAAAGAGCTAATGATTTTTTTATTGGGTGGTAAGTTGAAACTCTGAATAGTTACTAAGTTCCTGTTTGTTTTCCATTCTTTCCCCATTAAAATGAAAAATATGACCGTCATCCATCACATCAAGTCACCAAATTTGAATTTCTACTTCTTGTGTGTTGTCCATAACGATGATAGTTTTCATTCTCATTTTTACAAAAATGGAAAACAAATGGCCCCTAAATTTACCATTCAATTCCTCCCGTATGTCGGAAGGTCCAATAATTGGCTAGAATGGTCCAACAGTAGGCTGATTTGGAGTCGAGAAAGTTTTCGCTCGTAGACATGCCGAGTTTATGTTCAATGTGTACTGCAGGTTAATTGATCCCTTGATTTTTGGAGACTATCCTGAAACAGTAAAGAAAAATGCCCAAACAAGAATTCCAACCTTCACCAAACTTGAATCTGAGCAAATTAAGGGTTCAGTTGACTTCATAGGAGTGAACCACTACACAACAGCTTTCGTCAAGGATAATCCCAGCATCCTTGAAGCAGACAACGGTGGATTTTCTGCTGACCTTGCTGCACAGATAATAGGTAAGACTTTCATGCTTTATTGAATACAAACTTGTTAACGCAGAATTACCAGCTGCGGAGTCGTCTGAATAGATTCACTGGCTTAATTGCCTCATCATTTTGTTTCACGTGTTGCTAAAGCTTATTGTTCTACCTGTTTAATTTTAGCTTCCACTAGTATTCTTTCCTTAAGAAAATGTTGCTCCTTACGTGGGATTTTTGAGAGTGATAGTTTTCTGTGTCCAACTAATTGACCAGTGCTATTGTTATTCTATATTTACTAAACTTGTCATGTTTTCGGGTTGCTGTAGAGCAACAGGGTGACACGCCACAAGATCAGGTGATTCTAAATAACTTTACGATGTCTATTTGTTCTTTATATCAATAATTGACTCTAAAAATTTAATTTTTTGTGTTGCTAAGTATCCCGTGCTGCCTTCGGGTCTCTATGGAGTGCTGGAGTATCTAAAACAAGTTTATGGAAATCAGCCTGTTTATATCCATGAAAATGGTTCTCTCTCTCTCTCTCTCTCTCTCTCTCTCTCTCTCTCTCTCTCTCTCTCTATTTGCGCACACAGTAACGCACAAACTCTTCGACGCAATGTGTCTGTGTGTGTCTACACATGCATCTGTGCTTTTCCATGCGTTGGTTTTGTTTACATTGTTTTTTGGTAATTATATGAAGGAAGCTACCACCCTTGTCCCGAATGAAGGTCAGTGCCTATGCAAAATGAACCAAAAGCCTTCATCTGAGATGGTAATTGAGAGTTTGATTTAACAAGAAAGTCACTATAAATCAATGGACATACTGAAATATCCTACTTCCATTTTCTCAACACCTTACCAAATGCTTGAGACCTCGAGTATAAGATTATCCATTTCCTCTTTTGATGCATGTTCTTGGTTGCGCCATATCCTCTATTACCATTTATACTCCAACTATGTTAAAGTCATACTTATCGTCGTGGTAATTGATGCCCAGTGTTAAGGATCCTATTCACATAGCTTGGAAATATTTTTGCAAAATCACAAAGAAAATATCATTTTTAAGGCATAAATATTCACTATCCTTACTGATGTTTGGCCCCAGCTTCAAGAGTTTTTTTTTTGAATTTTGGGGGGACGTCACTTTATCGATATAACACTGTCATTATTCTGCAGACAACAATTGTGAATATATTGTTATCTCATTTAACTGTTTGCTTAAAAAAAGATCACTATAAATCATATCCTCGTGATTTATTTGAACTTGCATGTTGCAGTTCAAGTGTGCTATGTGCCATGTGCTTTCTTAATGTAATGTGTCCCTCCATCCCTCTATATTCTAGGAGCGTATTCAACTTTCCTTCACTTCCTATATTGAAGAAACCGACTTCAGGTAACTAACTAGAGACACGTGCATCTTGAAAAAGTGGATCTTGGACTGTTTATTGATTATAACCATCGTCTAGAAATGCTCGTCAACTTAAGCTCTTTTACTTTTATCCTAATGTTTAGTAACGGATGGTACATTTTTACTCCCCTGTGGTTTCTCTCAAAGGGTCCTGTTAATTACCTCCTACACTTGGGAGCAGGGAATATGCTAATTAGCAACCTTTTAAGAATATTTATGTGAAGAGAAAATCAGCAACGATTGAAATAGATTGCATTGTTCCTATTTATTAGGCTTCCATTCCATACTATTTTCTGATTGAACAAAATTGATGTGAAAGAGCTTTTTGATTTTACCCAGATTAGACAATTTAGTTAGGAAAGAGTTGCTTTTGCAGGTCAGATGACGCGTCGCAATGGAACGCTAAATGACACGCCACGGGTTGAATATTTTCAAGCTTACATTGGGAGCTTGCTTGATGCTCTGAGGTGAGCCTTTGCAATTCCATGTAAGATTCTTGAAGTACAGGACAACAAGAATTTCACGAGACTGTTTATTCTTCTAGTTTTTTCCATTTAAGGTTGAATCTGAAAACTTTTAGCTTGATATTTCAATAGCATTATCCAAAATTATTATGAAAGCTATACAAAAATATCCTGAAGTAGGTTGCTACTTGCTACTTTCTGCTTTCTTGTTCACCACATTCCTTCACCACATTGACAACAACTTTGCTTGATACCTTGCACTTGCAACATATCCTGCCATTTTCTAGCAACGACTTGGCATTCGGAAAACAATCTATCTTCCTTGATGAGTACCCAACTTTCTGTGACACAGACACCACCAAATAAAAGCATATAGTGTCTCCTTTGTAGAAAATATAAGTTGAAGACTAAATTTGAATAAATAAACCTATCACGTCTCTAACAACTTAAGCTTTTAAATGAAGTAGTTCAACATTGTATTAGATCAAACAAAAGACCTTCATGTCTCACTGCTATACATTTGTGAATATTGTGCATGTGTCAGGCCTTTGATAAGAGCTGAACTTGGCATGCACATGAAGGGGTGCTGAAGATTAAATTTGAATGAATAAATGTGTTTTCTCTTAACAGTTTAAGCTTTTAGATAAGGTGGTTCAATATAGAGGGCACCAACTGTCTAGGCAAAACTAATCGTCCCCCGACCTTTACAAACTTTCATCTTTATAATCTCCGTAGCATTGTTGAAACTTCTACCTTTACTGGATACTGGCACTGTGTTCTTGTAACTTGCAGGTGCTGCTCTGCTACAAGTTCTTTGAACTCACATATACAACTATCCAGATATTTTTTATATTTGATTTAAAAGAGTAAATATCAAGTTGATTCTGGTAAGATTTTTGTGTCTCTGATTGTGGTTTCTCTTATTCTCAATTTTCATTCTGGAATGCTCGAAGAAATGGATCGAACGTAAAAGGGTACTTTGCGTGGACCTTCTTAGACGGTCTTGAGTTACTAGATGGCTATGGGACTTCCTTCGGCTTTTACTACGTAGATTTGGATGACAAAGACCTGAGAAGATATCAAAAGCTTTCAGCGCGCTGGTACGCAAGTTTTTTGAAGGGGAAAACCAGGTCAAATTCGATTACTGAAGTTGGAAAAGGCACATCTGTTCCTTTGAGATACCAATTCATTCAGTAGATTTTAGTTCATATTTCATCTTGAAGTAGAAGTAAAACATAGTTATGTTTTAATATATCTTATGTGCTACTTAATACTTATTTTAAAGGTGAATATATTATCAAACTTCATATTTTGGTCTTTGCTACACACATAATATTACTTTTTATGAGACTCATCATAGTTTTTTGACTAGTAGAAAGTGAGAAAGAATCTTGGAAAAATATCGAACCTTTTTTACATTCCTATGTTCCACCTTTCTTCCATCCCCTCTAACCATATCCGAGTTGAGAGTTCTTGGGGTCCTGAATCACGAGTAGCTATTCCTTGGAACCTCGTGAGTATCTCATTGAGACCTCCCGATGAGCTCTCGGAGTAAGAAAGGGAAGGGGTAGCATAGGTTTATCTCAAGCATAAAACTGACATTCATGACCCAAAGAAGCGAGTATATTTCGTATGGACTATTGTGAGTAGTGTTTTCGAAAGAATTGTCGATAATTTCAAGTTTATCTGAAAAAATAAGATTCACGTAGCTTATATTCTACTGACGTTTAGTTAAGAGGTCAACCATATTATGAGGAGTAATCCAAGATCTTTTTAAATTGGTCAATATTTCAGTATTTAACCGATGTAAGTTTTTTATCCCTTAACATGCCCCTTCAAGATGATGGCTCGTTTGAGCAGACAAATTTTAAAATTTGTGTGCTAATTTTTAGTGTGTTAATCAGATCGAATTACTCGTTGAAATTTAATGGGCTCTGATACTATGTTGAGATTTGGGGTTCCATCTTAATAATATTAACCTTGTTAAGAAGAGTAACTTAATATATTTTTAAATTGGTCAATATTTTGGTATTTAACTGATGTGAGATTTTTATCTTTAACATGCCCCCGCAAGATGGTGGTTCGTTTGAGCAGACTAATATTGAAATTCGTGTGCTTATTTTTAGAGTCTTAATTTGATCGAATTGCTCGTTGGAGTTTAATGAGCTCTGATATTATGTTAAAGTTTGAGATTCCATCTTAAAATGTCAACCATATTAAGAAGGATAATCCAAATTTTTTTTAAATTGATCAACATTTCGATATTTAATCAAAGTGAGATTTTTATTCCTTAACGAGTATCTAGTAATGTAAATTAGATATTGCTAGACAATTGAAAAAAAAAAAAATATGTATATATTATTTATTTGAAACGAAACTGTTTCATAGTCAGAATTTTTAAGGGACGTGTAATCTGTTATCAAATGGAAATTGAATATTGATCTTCCTTTATAAGGTTTGACTAATTATTTGTTGATTAGAACAATGCTATAAGTACAGTATAATCAACAGAAAATTTACAGAGTAACACTTGGAGGGTTTCCATTGGAAGAAAAAAAAGGTAATAAAACAAAAAGGAAAACAGGCCACAGGACATGTCAGCACCCTGTAAAAAATCCGACAATAAAGCATGTACTTAAGGCTTTATTAATTGACACAAAACGTTCCTACCTTCGAGATTATTGTGGAAAACGTCCATACTTTTTTTTTTTGACATTTTTGCCCTATTTCCACATTTCTTTGCGCTGATTGTCCTTTTCAACATTTTTGACGTAAAATGACCAATATATCCTCCTATTTAAACAAAATAAAAAATGAAAAGGAAAAAAATTGCAAGCCTAGTCCCAAACTTTTCATATGTGCAAATGAATCCAAAATTTAAAAAACCGTCTTCCACACCTCAGCCCCACTCCAGTCACTCTAGAAATGTTGGAAAATCTTGAGATCCTTAAGCTGAAAAATGATGCATTCTGTTTTCTCAGCGGACTTCTGCTCATCGAACCTCCAGATAATGGATCTGTACGGTGCCACCAAATCAGCAGCTGCTTCTGCTAGAAGAATTCCATTTATCCTCCAAATTGATAATGGACCTGTACTGTACAACATAAGCAAAGCAAGCGAGCCCAGAAAGAAAACCAAGGCACTGGAATCTGGATTTAAATTTTCCATTTATCCTCCAAATTGATAACAATGATCATTGTATGTTCAAGAATAAAAATGCTATGGGTATGAGTAAACTAACAAATACTGTCAGCGTATTGACGAAATTTCAATAATAAAATTGGGTAAATGGTTCTGTGAGTGAGTGAGTGTGTGTGTGTGTGGTGGAGGAGAGGGGTCGGGGTGGGTGGGGAATTTGATTAATTGATGGATTGTTTTGGAGTGGAAATCTGTTGTCAACTTATGACGCACCCTGTAGCTGTTCTTCACTCAAAGTAAATGGAAGACCCTATAAACTGTGCCATTGAAGAAATTATTTTCATTTTGTTGCTTCTTTGCCTTGATACTTCTACTCGTGTTGAAAGCTTAGTTTTGCGTATAAATTAGTGCTGGCAGTCAGCAAAAGAAGCAGCCGGCCCATGGGAGGTTTATGGCAGTCAGTTTCGGTGGTGGTTGTTGAGGTGGAGGCCGGCGGTGGAGTTGTGGTGAGTCGTGAAAGACGGGTTTTCTTCATTTTGGACTCATTTGCACATATGAAAAGTTTGGGCCTATAGTTGCAATTTTTCCCCTTTTTTTTGTTTTGTTTTGTTTAAATAGAATGATATATTGGTCATTTTACGTCTAAAATGGTGAAAAGGACGTTCAGAGCAGAAAAAGGTGAAAATGGAGGCAAAAATATCAAAAAATAAATAGTAGAGACATTTTTCACGATAATCTCGAAAGATATGGACATTTTATGCCAATTACCCATTTTCGTCCCTACACTGAAATAGACATCATGAAGTCCATAAAATTTACGCACAGACACACACTTTGATGAGTCTTTTCAACAACCCAACAAGCCTATCTAGTCTCTACCGTCCATTATAGTACTCATTTGTGGGTCATTATTTTTTTTCAATAAGTGCTCGTGGTGGCTTTGCTTTTAATAAATATCTATTGTTGAAAGTAATAATTTTTAGAATATAAACTTGGAAAAAAACTATGTTGATATACTAGAATTCATGTAATTGATCAATTGAATAGACGTCTGACAAGATGTAAAATAGACGGAGAGATCGTAAAATAAAGTCTCTTAGGCTACGGTTGGTTTAATTTCTCATTTTTCATTTTCGGTTTCAAAACGATTTTTAGTTTTTTCCGAAAATGGCATGTTTTGAGCGTTTTTCGTGTTTTGAGAATTTATAATTGAAAACGTTCAAAATGATAAAAAATCGTTTTGCATTTTCAGTTATAAATTTTAACTCGTTTTCGAAAACGATCGACCAAACGTATTTCCCGCTTTTTTGAAAATAGAAATTGAAAAATAGTCCGAAAACGCCAAACCAACCGTAGCCTTACTAATTCTCTTTAAAATTGTGCAACTATTGGTATCAACTCATGTAGTAAGATGTAACTATTTTTCTTAAAAGTCATAGTTGATAGAAAATGCAAAATTTTAACATTATATCAATGGTCAAGAATTAGGGTTAACATATAACTTTCTTTTTCTAATTTATATATATTTACTTCGTTTTCATTTTGATTGAGAATTCACGTGATTCTTGATTAAAATATGTTATACCCTATTTGTGAACATATTTATGATATCAATATCTTAAATACTCAATTCGATCAAATTTGTTGGAAACACAACTGAAACACTTTGAAGTTCACATTACCTTAATATAAAGAATAATGCTATTTACAATCACTCACTACCGCAGTCACCCTATGTGGCACAGATATGACGGTTAGTGATTTGATATATGTGGTAACAAAAAACTACCAAATTAATATATCAAATCACAAACGACCACATAGGATGCCACGTAGGGCGATTATCGCAGTGAACAACTGTGAATAGCATTACTAGAACATAAATAAAGTCGAAGTAGGATAAAACTTTAGCCCTCTTATTGATAGTTGATACAAAAACGACTCTTTCATACTAATAAAATTAATTCACAAGACGATATAAGAAATTTTAATTCAAGCACTTCCAAAAGCAAGCAAATTCTTTAGAGAAACGCGTGGAAAAGCCTAACATAAGTTGATAGACTATGATTACGTATTGAAGCAATTATGGTGAAATAATAAATTAATAATACATAGTTATCTTAAAATATATACTAAATAAGCACAGATTTCGTTCTCAATAATAAAAAGTCGATGCACGTTCGCGAAAATTGTAAATGTATGACACTTTTTTTTTTTTCTATGAAAAGCCGAAACATGATTATATTGAAGAAATCAATTCATAATCAAGAAAACTAATGGTATGAAACTTGAATTAAATGCACACTGATTCTGAAATAACGAAAAACTCCTAAAATGACAGTATGTATGACACATGAAAACTAGTATAAGAGTGAAGTAGATTATCGATCTCTCATAGACTCTGTCAATAATTATTTATCTAAATATTTGAACCGTTGCAAAAATTAGCTGAAGTTTGTGTTCTTATTATTAATGAAATATAAATTTAATTTGAAGAATGAAGCACATTCATTCACAATAAATTCATCATCTGGACTGGTTTTGATGCGTTGGAGTGGAATAGCACTAATAATGTTTCAACAATAGTTTATGTGATACTAATGTGGTATTAAATGAGAAGTATAATGAGTCATTTAATTTCACTATTTATTGAACTTATCACATAGCACCACCTAAATTGATGTTATTGTACTGGTGGTACTAGATGACATTATTTGGTGAGAATGGGGTAGGTAAAGGTGGCAGTGTGGGAAAGGAGATAAAGCATTTTTCCCCCCTTTTGTAGTTCCTTTTATATATACTGGTGTCATGCCCGTGCAATGTATGGACGAATCTTTTTTTTTTTTTTTTAAAGGTAATGTTAATGTGTTGAGTGTTAAGGAAAAATGTTGACATATTGTAAAGGTCCAATCTTATCAAATAGGGTAGATGCAACAATGACTTCATGGAATTATTCTTGACTTGTGCCAATTTCCCTGATTCCATACATTTACAATAAAGTATTTGACAAGAACAAACGATTTCTTTGGAAGATCAGACAGAAAATAATTAAAAGGAATTTTCAAATTTTAATCCCTTAAAAAAAAAAAAAAAAAAAAA